ATAATATTTTTAATAGACATTAAGCATTACATCTGATAATGCATATAATATGGATACTGCATTCACTCATTTAGAAAATTATTTTTTAAATGATAATATAACTTTTAATTCTGAAGAACAACATGTACGATGTTTAACCCATATTATTAATTTAGCTGCTCAAGAAGCTTTTTTAATATTAAAAGGTATTGGACTAGAAAAGGAAGAAAATGTATTAGAAAATATAAAAAATGATCAAAATATGAGAGTAATTGAAAAGGTATAAAATTTTATTTTTTATTTTAATTTATATTAATTATTAATAATATTTTTATATTTTTAGTTAAGAAAATTAGTAGTTAAAATTCGTGCATCACCTCAAAGGCGTGAAAAACTTAATCGTCAATGTATTGCTTTAAAAATTAGAAGTCTTCAATTAATTCCAGATATTAAAACACGTTGGAATTCAACTTATGATATGATGGAAAAAGTATTAATATTACGTGAGGTAAATTATAAATTATAATTATTTTATTTTTATTTTATTTAACAAAACTTTTTATTAGCTATTACATAGTATGGCATTAACAAATAAGGAATTAACAGAATTTTTATTATCTAATGATGAATGGAACCCTGTAAAAAAAATTAGGTTGAATTATTTCATGTTTTATATTCCGTCTTTTTCCATTTATATAAATCCGAGTTTTTTCAATTTATATTAATATATATAAGACTTCGTGTTTTTTCAGTAAATATAGCATATTTCTGGAATTTTTATTATCAAAATATGGAAATTATTCAAAGATTACACTGAAAATATTGAACATTTAGTTGCCAAATATAAATTATTAAATAGTTTCGTTTTACTTAAAAATTCTGGATCAAATATGATAATAATATCAATATTATTCAAATACAAGCTATAATTTAAGCAAACGAAACTATAGAGTTTTCACTGAAATAAGCCAATATAAAAGTCTACCATTTCCTCAGTATCCAAATATTAAGTTATAATAAGGCCAATAGAATCATGGAGTTTTTACTAAAGTAAATCGGAATAAAAGTTTACTATTTTCTGAAATGAATATAATTTATTAATTTTCTCAATTCTTACCAGTTTTAGCTTTCTTATTAGATCTTGTTTGACGTAAAGTTTTCTTTATCTTTGGTTTTACTTGCTTTTTTTTACCTTATAAAACAGAAAATAATAAGTATAGTTATAATGTTATAAATACAAGAATAAGACATTAACAATATTACCTCTACCTTGAGAAATGTTAATAGTTTCAATAGTAGTATCAGTGGAATCTAAAACATCAGTTGCAGTCGTAATAAGAGGTGTAATTGCTATTATTTTGTATTGAAAGTAAGTAATGTAAAGTTTTGTAATAAAAAACAAAAACAATATTAAAAAATATAATTATACCTTCGGAATCTTATACATTATCGGCTACTTCATTAAGAATATTTTTTATATCTTTTAATTTACGCTTTTGTGGTAAAGGTCGATTATTTTTCTTTGGTAGTAATATTAGTATAAGATCTTAAAAAGTATTAACAGTTTCGGTAGTATTAGTGGAGCCCAAATCATCTATTATATGTAATATAAGATGTATTGAAAGTAAGGTTATTAATAAAAACAAAAATATTAAAAAAATATAATAATACCTTCGGAATCTTATATATCATTGGCTACTTCATTAAGAATATTTTTGCATCTTCTATTTTATGTTTTCATGGTGAAGGTCGAGTATTCTTCTTTGGTGATGGTGGTGCAAGGCCTTGTTTCTTTGCTTCATTAATTTTTTTCTTTTTTACTTGATCAACTATAAAGAATAAAAAAAACTTACTTGTTCATTAGTAATATCACATATGACACTACGTGCATCCGGAAGTGATCCTGTAAGAGAAGAATCAATAGCAATTAATACAGCATATAAGCAACAATATTGTTCAAGGCTTAGTGAACCAGGTATAGATAGATCAGCATTGAATAATGTTACAAAAAGACGATAACATTGTTCAGATGCAAATTTAGAAACATCAATTGAAATGTTGTCCTTTTTCATTTGAAATTCAAAGATTTTTGAGAATATTTTTAATAAAAGAAAAAAAGTGATAAGTAAAGGAAAGAAAAGTTTGATTGATTGCAAAAAAAAATAAAGTATATTTATATCAAATTATATTATTATGAAAGTTTGATTTTGTAAGATTTTATGGCGCAGCAAT